CCATGGAGGGAGGCTGCCACAGTGAGAACAGTAAGAACAAACTCACCCAATGGAGGGTGGGGCGCACAGTAACGTAAGACAACACTTCATCCCAATAGGAGGGAGCTGCACACCGTGAAACACCGTACAAGACACCCACTTAATCCCAATCGGAGGGGCGCTGCGAGCCACGTGGAACAGTAAGACAACACTTCACCCCAATAGAGGGGCTTGCACAGCCGGGCAACCCATTAACCGCGCACAACGACTTCATGTCCCAACTAGAGGGAGCTGCACACAGGAGGAACCGTCAAGACACAACACCTTCATCCCGCGAATATGAGGGAGCTGCACATGAACAGTAAAGCACTCATCTCCACCAAGAGGGGGCCTGCGACGAGGGTGAGACCGGTAAGACAACACTTCATTCCAATAGAGGGGCAGCCGCGAGCGAGGGGGAGCGCGGGAGGAGCGAGAGCGACGCGAGCGCAAAACTCACAGTCGGGACCAGTACACGCACAACACTCATCCCGCAGAAGGCGCGCGCTGCACCAGTGGAACAGTTAAGGACAACACCTTCATACCAATAGAGGTGGCCTGCCACATTGGTACAGTGAGAGGACAACACTCCACCCAATAAGACGGGGGAGCTGCACCAGTTGAATCAGTCAATACAGGAGCAGGCTTTCAATCCCCAATAGAGGGAGCGGGACACACATGGAGCAGTAAACCCACAATTCATCCCCAATGACGGGGCCTGCCAACCACAGTAAGACAACCCTTTATCCAATAGAGGGAGCTGGCACACTGAACAGTAAGCAAAACACTTATCCCACCAACGGGGGGCGCTGCCACAGTGCGGAAGCAGTTAAAGACAACACTCATCCCAAAGAGGGCTGCCCACAGTGGAACAGCTAAGACAACACTTTCATCCCACAGACCGGAGCCCTTGCACAGTGCGGAACAGTAAGAACAACACCTCATCCCACACAGGGGACCTGCACACGTGGAACAGTACGACAACACTCACCCACAAGAGGGAGCTCACGTGGAACAACGTAAGACAACACCTTCATCCCATAGAAGGGAGCTGCACAGTGAACAGTAAGACAACAGCTTCATCCCAATAGAAGGAGCGCACAGTGAAGCAGTAAGCACAACACTTCCATCCAATAGAGGGCGCTGCACGTGAGAACAGTAGACAACACTTCCCATCCCAATAGAGGGGGCTCGCACAGTGGGAATAGGAAGCACAACACTCATCCCAAAGAGTGGGGCGGGGGGGGCGCCGGGGCTCACAGTGAAAACAGTAAGAACAACACTTCCATCCCAATAGAGGAGCTCTGCACGTGACACACGTAAGACCAGACACTTCGTCCCAGACATAAGGGGCGCTGCACCAGTGAAACAGGTAAGAAAACCACTTCATCCAGATAGATGGGGCGCCACATTGGAAACAGTAAGACACACTCATCCCCAAGATAGAGGGAGCTTGGCACATGGAACCAGTAAGACAACACTTCACCCTAAAATCAGAGGGAGCTGCCAGTGAAACAGTAGACAAACACTTCATTCCCAATGAGAGGGGCTGCACAGTGCGAAACAGTAACAACACTTCATCCCAATAGAGGGGAAGCCTGCACAGCTGGAACAGTAAGCAGACACTGTCATCCCAATGAGAGGGAGCTGCACAGGGAACAGTAAGACAACATTCATGCCCAAATGGGAGGGGAGCTGCACAGTGCGAAGCAGTAAGACAACACTTCATCCCAATAGAGGGGGCTGCACAGTGAAACAGTAAGAAAGCTTCAGTGTGCTAGGAGGTGACAAGTGCAATCTGAAAAAGCAGAGCAGGGCATGAGGGGCTGGGTTCCTGGGGGAAGGTGGGGCTGAGCAGTCAGGGCAGACCTCAAGGAGAAGATGGCCTATTTCTTTCCTTTTATTTTTTAACAGCTTATTGTGGTAAAATTTACATATCATTAAATTCACCCATTTTAAGTGTACATACAGCTCAGTGGCTTTTAGTAAATTCATAGAGTTATACAATCATCACCACGATCCAGTATTAGAACATTTCCATAACCCTAAAACCTTCCCTTGTCAACCCTGGCTCCCACCCAGCCTCATGCAGCCGCCGGTCTGCTCTGTCTCTGCAGACCTGCCTGTCCTGCACACGCTGCGTGAGTCGAGTCACAGAATAGGCGGCCTTTCGTGCTGGGCTCCTTCCACTTAGCATGATGTTTTGGAGACTCCTCTATGTTGTAGCATGTGTCAGCAGTGCATTTCTTTCTCTTGCTGAATATTATTCCATTACATGGATATGCCACATTCTATAGGCAGTTGGATTGTTTCCATTTTCAGTCTATTATCAATAATGTTCTAGGAACATTCACAAACAAGTATATATGTGGGCATATGTTTTCATTTTTCGTGAGTAGATTCCTAGCAGTGGGATACCTAGGTCATGTGGAAAGTTTATGCTTAGTTCTTTAAGAAACTGCCAAACTGTTTTCCAGGTGGCTGTGTCATTTTATCCCATTCCCCCAAGCAGCGTCTGAGCATTCCAGTTTTTCTACATCCTTGTCAACACTTGCCACTGTTTGTCTTTTCTGTTATGGCCATTCTAGTATGTTTGAAGTGATATTCCATTATGGTTTTAATTTTCATTCACCTAATCAATAATGATGTTGAGCATCTTTTGATGTGATAAGTATCCATTTGTATGTCTTCTTGGGTGAAATGTCTATTAAAATCTTTTATCCATTTTTGATTATATCATTTGCCTTATTGTGTTGTAAGAGTTCTTTATATATTCTGGATACAAGTCCTTTATCAGACATACAATTTGCAAATATTTTCTCTCAGTTTGTGGCTTGTCTTTTCATTTTCTTTATGGTGTTTTATGAAGCACAAAAGCTTTTAAATTTAATCAGGTTGAATTTAATTTTTTTCTTTTATAGATTGTGCTTTTGATGTTATTTCTAAGAACTCTGCCTAACCAAAGGTCACAAAGGTTTACTCCTATATTTTCTTCTAGAAGTTTTACAGTCTCAGTCTATGATTCATTATAAGTTAATGCTGTGTAATTTGTGAGGTAAGGGCCTAAATTCATCATTTGTGCATACAGTTATTCCCACCATCATCTGTTGAAAAAGACTATTTTTCCCACACTGAATTGTCTTTGCACCTTTTCTAAAAATCAACTGACCAAAATATAAGGATTCTCAATTATGATACATTGATCTACATGCCTGTTCTTATGCCAGAACCTTAATGTCTTAATTACTATAGCTTTATAGCACATTTTAAAATCAAGAAAGGTGAATCCTCCAACTTTGTTCTCTTTCAGAATAGTGCCAACTACTTTGCGTCCCTTGCATTTCCATGTAAATTGTAGGATCAGCTTGTCAATTTCTGCAAAAGTTGTTGCTGGAATTTTGATAGGAATTGTGTGAAAGCTATAGATTAATTTGGGGAGAATTGCCATACTAACAATGAGTCTTCCTATCCATGAACATGGAATTCCTCTCCATATTTTTTAGATCTTTAATTTTTCTCAGCAGTGTTTTGTAGTCTTCAGTGTACATCTTGTACTTCTTTTGTTAAATTTCTTCCTAAGTATTTTGTCCTTTTTGATGCTAATATGAATTGTTTTCTTAATTTCATTTTCAGATTGTTCATTGCTAACATATATATTTTATATATGGGTCTTGGATCCTGTAACCTTGATGAACTAATTTTTTTAGATCTGATAGGTTTTTGTGAATTCTTTAAGATCTTCTATATACAGGATCATTTTATCTGTGAATAAACATAGTTTTACTTCATATTTCCTAATCTTATGCCTTTTTTTCTTTATTGCACTGGCTAGAACTTCCAGTACAATGCTGAATAGAGGTGGTGAGAGCAGGCATCCTGGCATTGTTCCCAATCTTAGAGGGAAACTTCCAGTCTCTCACCATACAGGATGTTAGCCGAAGATTTTTCATAGACACCCTGTCAGGTCAGGATGTTACCATCTGTTCCAACTTTGTTGAAAGTTTTTACTATGAGTGGTGTTGGATTTTGTGAAATACTTTTTATGCATCTATTCTTTATTCTATTAATATGGTATATTACATTAATTGGTTTTCAGATGTCAAACCAATCTTGAATCCTGGGGTGAAAAATCTCATTTGGTCGTGGTGTTTAATCTTTTTCATATGTGGCTAGATTCAGTTTGCCTATATTTTTTTGAGGGATTTTCATCTATATTCATGATAGATAATGATCTGTAGTTCTCTTTTCTTGTGATGTTTTGGGCTGGCTTTGGTATCAACTGGTTTTGTAGAATGAGTTGGGAAGTGTTCCTTCCTCCTATATTTTCTGGAAGATTTTGTGAAGGATTGGTATTCATGATAGAATTCACCAGTGAAGCCATCTGGGCCTGGGGTTTCTTCATGGGAAGATTTTTTATTATTAATTCAATTTCTTTACTTGATATAGATCAATTTGGATTTTCCCTATAGAAGGTAACTTTTAAACAAAGACTTATAGAAGTAAAGAAGTTAGCTGTGGCTCTTGGAGCTAAAACTACTTCAAGTGAAGAAGCAGAGTCATCGAAGCGTTCTAAACAGAGGATGGATGGAATGTGGCTTATATTTTAAAATAATCACCTTGGCTACTAGGCAGAGAGCAGATGTAAGAGGACAAGGGTAGATGACCTATTAAGAGGCTCTCACGGTAATACAGATGAGAGATTAGGGACTCAGACCAGAACAGTCGCAGTGGAGGTAGCAGACAGCTGGTGTGAGAGAAAGGGAGGAGTCAGGATGATGCCAAGTTTTTGGCATGGGCCTTTAATCCCTACAAAGTTGGATGCAAAATTCCAGAAGTATGTGGGCATTTCTGGGGAGAGGTTTCCCGTTCTCAAAGGAGTCAGTAAGCCCCCCAAAATTTAAGAGTGACTAATCTAGACCAATGTCTTAGTCAGCTCAGGCTGCTATACTGGGTGGCACACACAACAAACATTTATTGCTCACAGTTCTGGAGGCTGGAAGTCTGAGATCAGGGTGCCCTCAGCGTGGCTGGATTCTGGTGTGAGCCCACTTCCTGCTTAAGTCTTCACACCGCTTTTCCTTGGTACAGAGAGAGAGAGGGGGAAAGAGAGGGAGGGAGAGGTGTCTCCCGTCTCTTCCTCTTTTAATAAGGTCGCTAATTCCATCAGAAGGGTACCAACCTTATGACCTAACCTAACCCTAATTACCTCCTAAAGGCCCCACCTCAAAATATCACATTGCAGGTTAGGGTTTCAACATATGAATTTGTGGGGTGTCAGGGATGCTAACGTTCTGTCCATAGCAGCCCACCTCTTTGTTTTTAGAAAACTATGGCCCAGAAGAGTTGGGCTACTTCCCTGTGGCCACTAAGCTAACTAGCTATAAAGTGTGAAGCTAGGACTACCCGGGTGCTTTTATACCAAACTAGGGCCTTGCCTAGTGGAACATATAATCAGAACCCCTCCCCCTAAACCTATGAAACCCCATTCACCCCTGCCTAGGAGCACCTGGAGGAAGAGCAGGTGTACAGAGATGGTCCTTCCTCTGCTTCCAGCATCTGGTGCCACCTGTCTTCCAGGCCATGTACCCACACAGTGCCCACGTGCACTTGTGCAGTGCCTGCCTTCCTTCCCCTTTGCCTTTGGTCCACCCAGGATCCATGGTTCTTACACCCCCCCAAGGAAGATCTAAGGGAACGCCTTTCTGCCAGCAAAGCTCCTTTCCAAATGGAACCACAGAAAAGACAACAGCTTATCTGCCTAAGATAATGAGAGCCCTTGGTTTTATCTGTGTGGCTATCTTATCGAAGCAGGCTCAGGTGGCAAGAGTGAAGGAGGAAAATAATTAAGGGGCAGACAGGTGAAATGTTGACATTATTATTACTTAAGTGCTATAGTGCTTTTAGTTCATGTTTTTATATTGGTGACACCCAATGAGGGGAAATCAGCTTGGCCAATTATCTGAGCCACACACAGGCTCACTCCAGCTCCCACCAACTATAAATCTTATTAAACAGGTTCCACTGACAAGACGGAAAGATAATTATGGTGAAGGCAGGTGAAATGCTGGTGTTGCTACTGTAATGCAACAGCCTGTTTAGTCCCCACACCAGCGAAACGCACCCGAGGGAAGTCAGGGCTGAAGGTCACCGGCAGAGGGGCGGCGGGCCAGGAGCCAGGCCCAGGGAGGAAATGGCGTCCAGCTAGGGAACTTTTCCAAGTCTGTGCCAGGCTCTTAGGGGCTCTAAAGCCCACAATTTACCTTTTGACTGCATTCTATTTTCTTGCAAATCCTTTATTTCCCATTTGTTTATTGACTAGAGACACAGCACCAAAAGTGAAAAACAGGGAGTGATTCTCCAGCCGCTGGTCTTAAAAATCCATAGCAGAAGATGGTTCTCTGGAGGGAGGTTTTTAGCACTCCTGTGAACCAGGCCTTAACTGAATCTCTGTCCCTCTGGGGTGTGCCTGCCCAGCAGGGGTGGCTTCTTCTGACAGCATCCGCCTCATCCTGCTGGGCTGTGGAGGAGGGGCTGTGGGCACGACCCAGGACAGGTCCCTGGGTCACCCACAGGAGGGGCTGGGCTGTGCTTCCCTGACATGTGTAGCTCCAACAAGATGGGCCGAATGCATGCTCCACGCCAGGCAGAGCGAGGCCTGCCAGCGAGGGAGAGACTTTGCAAGTGGACAGAGACCGTCGCAATGGCTGAACCCAGGTTCACAAGTAGCAACTGGCAGGCCTGGTTCCCTCTCAGCGCATCTGTAGAGTCTTTTACATTTGTTGCCAACATTTAAGATTATGGAGGTTTTTGTATATAAAAAAAAATCTGATTTCTGGCTTCTCTGGCAAAGACCTGCCAACCTGAGTCCTGTTTGTCTGCTTGGCAACAATTGTGTAGCGGCTGCTCCCTTTGGTGGGATCTGGCCCACCTGGCCCCCTTTGCCCTGCTCCCCTCGGCCCCTCAGTGCATTTATATCACTGGCATTTAAGGATGCAGCCCCAGTCTGGCCCACCCCAGGCATAGACCTGCCTTTGGGGAGCTCACAGCGGGATGGGGCTTGAACTGAGAATGTAAGCAGGAACAGGAGATGAAGGCAGGCAGGGGAGAGCAGGGCCCAGTCGTGCTGGGGCGTTGGCAAGAGCAGGCTTTCAGGAAGGTTTGGGTAAGGTGTGAAGCCTGAGTGGAATCTGTGCAAATTAATGGACTTGTCATAGATGAGTGGGCAGCGTCTCCTTCCCTGTGCGTCCTGTCCTGTTCTAGAGAGCGCAGAGCTTGGAGCTGGACGGCCTGCACTGAACTCCCGGTCTGCTACTCACTGCCTGGATGAAAAGGCTCTGTAGGTGTGCAGCACACAAACAGGACCTGGGACGGGCTGAGCTGGGACCTGCTCAGTGTGCAGCTCTGCCTTCCCTTCCTGGGCACCCTCAGTCCCCAAACGAGGCTCCTTAGCCTGTAAGCCTGCCCAGTCCCCACACTGCTCTTGCTGCCCTGTGCAGCTGCAGCCCTGCCTTTCCCGTCTGACAGAAGACTGAGGAAAGGAAAGCTTTAGAACTGTAACTGAGCTCCCGCCGGGCTCTAGGGCTCTGCCCGGGTTGCTGACTGAGCCCACAGCCTCAGCGCTCCCACCAGGAGCCCCCTGGATGGACTCCTCAGACCAGCAGAGGAAGGTGCTGGAGGGCCCAGCCGTCTGCCTTGCGCCAGACATGCCCTGCCGGGCACGAGGCTCCCAGCAAGGAAATGGCACTTGGAGGTAGAGGCTGTGAGCCGCAGACCTAGGGGAGCAGGAAGGCCATCGCTGCAGGGCGGAAGGCTTGGGTCGGGGTCTGTGTGCAGATGCAGACACTGCACAAATGCAGCAGGCCAGCAGCACCATTCGAGAGATGGTGAGTTAAGTAGAATTGTACTTACGCTGCTAACATGGGCAAGGAGTGGCATTTCCCCAGCTAGTCTCATATTCTGGTTGATAGATCAGCATGCCCACATCAGCACTGAAAAAAATACGAATGCAGTAAAAATACATCTTGTTTTTCAACTCGGTTAATGTAAGTCACTGAAATAACTGTGGCCATGTTCATTTGACACCACAAAGGCTTTGGGTCCTGGCGCCCCGGCTGCCCTACGTGATGGGGCCTCCAAGGACTCCCCGATGAACTGCACTGAAGCCAACAGCCACAGGAGCTATTTAACTTTGAATTCGTTTAAATCAAGTAAGACTAAAAATACTGCTCCTAGGCTGCAGTGGCCTCACTGTTGAGCGGCTTTGGGGGCTCCTTCAGCAGGAGTCAGGCATTCCTGGATCCTCTGGCCGAATTCCATCTAATCACACTCCGTGCTCCAGCAACCCAACAGCAGCCAGGGACAGGGACAGATTTGAGGGCTTGGACCTGGGGCAAGAGAGATCAGCCTCTCACAGTGGTTATACTGAGGTCACAGCGCAGGCAGTGGGTAGAAGCTTTCCATTAATCCATTCACCCATTCATTCTCCAAACCTTTGTAAAATCCCTAAGATGTGTAGAAGCGTCGTATCGGATCCCATAGGGAGATGCGGGAACAGTAAGACACCTCTGTGGCCTCAAGCACCTCACAGACAGAGAAGGGAGAAGACACACAGCCACCTCCTGTCACGAGAGGCAGAATGAAAGAAGTGCTTGAGCACGTGAGCAAAAGACGGAGGAATGTTCGTTTCGGCTGAGGAAATCCGGAAGCAGAAGCCTTGCTCAGTAGCATGAGCAGCTGGGGCGGACACGCAGGCACAGCCACATGGGGAAGGCACGGAGCGGCGCGGGCCGCCACCCCTGCATGGAGGCCGGTGTTTGGGATGTGCAGAGTGCGGGGCTCGAGGGCGGAGGGCCGACTGCGCAGTGGCAGGCGGGGTTCAAAGGAAGGGGCGCTGAGCTGCGCCGAAGCGTCCGCACTTCGCTGTGGGCAGTGGGGAGCCATCATGGGTGTTTGAGGGAGTTCATCACTGATCTGACGGTCCTAGGAGGAGGATCCCAAGGCAGGGAAGTGTTGGGTAGTCAGGTCCTGGCTGACAGAAAGTGGGACAGCCCGGAGTCTGTAGAAGTTGCCAGAGATAAAAGGAACGGGGAAGGCCTGGGGCAGGGCGCCAGAGTGGAGGTGGAGAGCCAGCCCTCAGTTTCTGTTCTCCAGGACACCCCTACGTGATGCCTCTGACCCATCTACTCAGCAATGATTCTGGACACCCCTACGTGATGCCTCTGACCCATCTACTCAGCAACGATTCTGGACACCCCTACGTGATGCCTCTGACTCATCTACTCAGCAACGATTCTGGCCGCAAATATCCCATGCTGCCTCCGCAACGTGCAGTTTCTTTAATGATCCAGAAGTTTCCATGCCTCAAGGTCCCGAGCCACTGAGAGCTGGCGTTAGCAGAGGGCCCACGTGGTGGAGGGCCACGTGGGAGGAGAGACCCCGACCTTACGTGCATGTCAGGAAAAGTGCTCCTCCTGGAAGCCGGGACGCCTGGACACCAGGCCAGTCCCGCCGTGCGGGCCACCCCTCGGATGCCCCAACCCTGTCATCACGGAGGCTCCTCTGCTCACCAGAAAGTCGGGGCATGAGAGTGCCTGGGCGGGAGGTCGCCAGCCCCTTCCTTCAAGGCCATGCCGCTGGTGTCTGGAGCTCCGCGCAGCCTGGGGACTCTGGCGGCTCTCTGGGAATGTGTAACTGAAAACAATTTCTAGTCGGGATCTGTTGTAATTACTACTTAGATCTGATTACGATTATCTCTCGGTGCCCCTTACCTGACACACAGGACAGGGCGCTGCCTGCTACAGTCTCCGGATCAGCTGGCTGGTGGGGAAACGGGGGCGGGGGCGGGGCGCGCCTGGCTTCTTAAAGGGAGGATGCTGCAGACCGTGCATGCTGTGAGCAAATGAGATGGAAATTAATGCGGGGAAACTTGGAGAGAGGAAATGGGCCTTTTTCTCCCTTTTTGTCTCAGCTGATGACATTTTGGGGGAAGAAGCTGAACTCTCCTTAGTGCTCCCTTCTTTTACCCTCCCCGGGCTTTGGGGGTTTGACGGCTGCCCCAACCCTGCCCCAGCCTGACTGTGTTGCAGTGGACTGTAAGCAGACTTACTAGCTGTGTGACTTTGGGCAAGTTGCTCACACTCTCTGAGCCTCAGCTTCCTTGTCTGCCAAATGAGGAGGAGACTTTCCTCAGAGCCAGGCACTGACCGGCTGTTAGTGGGGGCTCTGGGAGTGCTGGGAAGCAGCTGAGTGTCCACAGCAGGGCCCGCGGGCTCTCTGGGGTCAGAGGCCACGGCTTAGGCGGCCTGGACTCTCTGGGATCAGCCCCAGGCGTGGCACAGAGGAAGTGCTTGGCGATGCAAGGAGGAACAGCAGGGGCTCCCACCCAGGACCAAGCGGGGCCTCTCCCTCCCCGGTGCTCCCGCATCTCCGCCTCTGGCGAATAAACCCATGGCTGCTCCCTGCGGCCCGCCCGGAGCAGGACAAAGTGCCACGCAGTCAGCTCTCCCCTCTGGGCACCTTCCTGCAGGAAGGCCCCCATGAGGACAGACGCCCTGGAGAGCCGAGCTGGTGCAGAAGGGCAGAGGCGAGCGCCAGCAGCTCCAGGAAGAGTGCGGCGTGACCACTGCCCGCCCAGCGGTCCCTGTGGGCTGGAGACCTGAGCTGTTTGTTGGAACCACCCAAACTGCCAGAAGGGCCGACCTGGGACTCCTGATAAGCTGGTGACCGGAGCAGAGGCGCTAGGCACACAGAAAACATTGTCATTTGGCGAAAAGGGAGCCGCTCTCCCACCCAAGCACGCACAGCCAAACAGGCCTCCCGCGCATGCCCGTGCGGAGCCCACTCGCCCCGTGCCGCGTGGGGTGGGGGCTGCACGGCTGCTCCGGCCACGTGCTCGGCCCCACTCTCAGGAAGGACAGTCTGGGGAGTCCGGGACCCCACTTCCTCACCGTTGCCGGCTCCAAGCATGGGCCTCCTCCCTCTGTTGCTTGGTTCCCCACCAGCAGGGCCCTCTGCATTCTCCAGGAATGCCCCGCCCCGCCTCCCAGGACTCTGGGTGGGTCTCCCTTCCTCTGCCTCCATCTCTCTAACCCCTCACTCTGAACTTGGCCAAAGACTTGCTTCTCTGGCGGGAGGTGAGTCGGGAGGGCTGGCAGCCGAGGTGTGGCAGGTAAGGCACTGCACTTAGCATCAGAACTCCTGGGCCCTGGTCCTGGCCTTTCCACTTGTCAGCTGTTGCCCTGGTCCAAATCACTTGGCCTCTCTGACCCTCAGTTTCTTCATCTACAAAATAAAAATTAAGAACACCTGCCTTAACAGCATGCAAGTTATGGTAAAGGGAGAAATGAACACATATAGGAAAGCATCTTGCAAACAGCACAGTGCCTCGCAGTGTTCGGAGCACAGGTACCTTTGAGAACTGATGCCATTTCTGTACAATCTGTTGTCTATTGCTGCATAGCAATTTACCCCAAACCCAGTGGCTTAAAGGAGCAGGAATCATTTATCAACTATCACACTTTCTACAGGCCAAGAGGCTGAACCCAGCGCAGCTGGACTGTTCTGGCTCAGGTGTCTCTGCCATGGGACATAGGAGGGGCTGGGTCACGCAAAGCCTCCCTTGCTCACATGCCTGGCACCAGGACTGGCAGACACAGCCGGCTGGGGCTGGGGTGCTGGCAGAGCTGACTCTGAAGTGGGGCTCCTGGGCCATCTCCGGCCATCTCTGTGGGTCTCTCCAGCGTGGCGGCTTCAGGGTAGCTGGACTTCTTACATGGCTTCTCAGGGCTGCAAAATGCACGTGCAGTCCCCACTGGCAAATGCCACAGAAGTGCCCAGTCGCCCTCTGGAGCACCTGGGCCGTGTGTGCTTTATCTCCCTCCACACATGTAAGATGGCCCTTCAGAGAAGCCGTGGGCCCCACGAGCAAGGTGGGTCTGGCCTCAGCCGTCTACCCCTTTGTGAGCAGCCCGAGGGTGGGGGCCCTGCCACTCCGCATCTTCTCTCCCTGGCATGGCCTGCCTCGGTGGCTCTCACCAGCCACGGCGCCTATGGCCAGAATCCAGGCACAGGCATCTGGCCACCCCCACACCTCAGCCCACCCTGCATGGAGTGGCTCCACGCTGGGAGCCGGGGGCTGGGGAGCAAGGCCAGGCAGCAGACGCCCATCCTGCTCCACTGGGCTCTGGGGAGCCAGGGACTTAAGCCTGGCAAGCACGCCCAGCTGCTGAGGCCAAGTGTGGCCTTGGCTGGCCAGGCTGGCCTCTGCCTCACCGCACAGCACAGCGACTGAGCACACTTAGAATCAGGGATCAGCAGGATGTGGAGCTAGAGAGCAGGGGACAGTGGGACAGTGGGGCAGGGACAGTGCCTGCCCTAGACTCACCCACCCCTCCAGCGCCAGCCCTTGCCACTGTGTGCTCCGGCGTCACTCGTTCTCGCAAGCGTCTGCACACGCGTGGCTCCAGCTCACACACCCCCACACCTGCTCGCACCGGCGGGGCCCTTCCGCCTCAGCCTTCCCTGGCTCCGCCGACAGCACTGACCACTCAGCACTGTGCTCTGTGGGTCTCCCCCAACCTGGACTGTGTCCCCTTGCTTAGGAACCCCGTTTCCTTGCTGTCCGTGTCTCCAGCGCCTAGCCCAGACCCCGTGGAGAGTATATTCAGTGAGTGCGTTGAACTAATGGCCAGCAAGGTCACCTGCAAGCTAGGGGAGCTTCACGTTCAGCTGCAACCGCCCAAGCGTTCTGGAGCCCAAGGTCTGCCCCGATGAGGAGAAGACAAGGGCATCACAGGAGTGAGGTGGGAAGGCTGAACCAGGCAGGGCTCCCGTCACTCCTTCCCTGCCCCGTGTTGCCAGCACTGCGCCCTCCCTTCCTGCCTTGAACAAATCAAGCTTTCCAAGTCTCAGTTTTCTCATCTGAAAAATAAGTATGATAATAGCTGCCTATCTAGAGGTATTGTTATGAAAATCACGTGAATGCTGAATGTGAACATGCTTTATAAACTACAGTTCTGGAGAGATATTAGAGGCTGTCACTTGGCACAGTAGAGTGCCAGAGGCAGCTTGTACTGGCCTGTGACAGCTGATGGTGCATCCCTCTTCCCAGCCTGCACGCAGTGACAACACGTTGGTGGCATCCCCCCGACAGCAGCTGGTGGCTTAACATGGGCCGTAATAGGAGAATTTCTACCACAGAAACTGGCAAACACCATAAATCCGGACCTTGCATATTGTCTTGAGTTGAGTTGAGTTGAGTTGAGTTGTGTTGAGTTGAGTTGAGTTGAGTTGAGTTGTGTTGAGTTGAGTTGAGTTGAGTTGAGTGAGTTGAGTTGAGTTGAGTGAGTTGAGTTGAGTTGAGTTGAGTTGTGTTGAGTTGAGTTGAGTTGAGTTGAGCTGAGCTGAGTTGTGTTGAGTTTGTAGAGCAGGTTTACCAGCACATTGACTTAACGTGAGACCTTAGGCAAATCATTGTGCCTTTCTGAGTCGCTATTTTACTAACTTTAAAGTAGGAACAGGTGTCCCTGCCCATCTCCATGACCCAAAGAGGATGTTAGGGATGAATGGGAGACCTTGAGCTCTCCAATAGAACTTGTATGAAGTCCTGTATTATAAACACGCTTCATCAGAAAATCAGCGAGAGTAGTGACTGAGCAGTGACCCACAGCGGGAACTGTGACCAGACCAGAGAGACTAGGGGTTTGCTCAGCCGGCTCCAGGGGCCAACCTGGGCACAGGCCCCAATATAGCACACATCATTGCGGCCACAGGGCCATCCTGCGGACTGGAACGAGGGGGAGCTGACCAGGCTCTGGCCCTAACTCACAGGTGACCACGGGCATCTCACGTTACCACTGTGAGCCTCTGAGACCCTGCCTGCCTCCCTGCAGGGGCTGCCAAGAAGATGAACAGGCTCCTGCATGTGAAAGCTCTCAGAGCAGTGAAGGCGCTAACTCCATGTGAAGGGGAGGCCCTGGGGTGCAGATGGCCTTCAGCCACGGCACAAGACCCAGAGGCCCCTGATGGGACGTAAGTCCATGCACCACATGCAGAGGGGGGACTGAGGCCAAGCAGGGAAGGGCTTTATCCTCCATCATGCAGCCAGTGGTGGCTACGCATTCACAGGAAACACCTACTGTGTGCCGTCACTGTTGTTGGCACTAAAGACACAGTGTGAACAAAACAAAATGCCACTGTTTTCATGGAGCTTCTACCAGTGGAAGGAGACAGACAGCAAACCAACAACTATATACTGTCATGAGTGCCATAAAGCAAAACAAAGCAGGGCAAGGATGTGGGGGGGGTGGGGTGCCAAGGGGCTATTCTATATGGATAACCAAAGAAGGCCTCTTTGAGCAAGTAACATAAAACCAAAGACCTAAAGAACATGTGGCAGTGAACCAAGCAAACATTTGGAGGAAGCATCCCAGACAGCAGCTGCGGCAAGTGCAAAGGCCCTGAGGCAGACATGCTCTTAATGTTCTCCAGCCAAGGCAAGGAGGCCTGCGTGGCTGACGGGGAAGCCATTGCAAGTTTCTGGAAGGCAAAGAAAATCAAGTTTGCAGGCCCTGTCCTAAGCTGTCCTTCTCCATCTGCTCCCATGTGCTCCCCTCTCTTCCTGCAGTTGCTCTCAGCCCCCATCCCAGCCCACCCAGGTCTGAGTAGCAGGGCCTGGGGCCTGTCTGGAGGACAGGGGCTAAGAGGGACCAGCTAAGTGCGAGGTGCCCCCTAGAATTGATCAGTGCACAACCTGGACACCCTGGCTAAATCTCACTCTTCTCTATGCACCAGGCCAGAGCCTGCAGGAGCCTCTCCCTGCCTCCCCCTATCTCCAAGGCCTGGGAGCCCTCCCAGCCTGATGAAGGCCCACCAGGGCCTTGATGGATGAGCTTGGTGCGGCTGCCCGTCTCTGTCTGCAGGGCCTCGGGAGCTGTCAGTCTTCCCTGGCAGCCTGGCCCCCCTAGTGCTTGCCTCACCAGGACAGTTCTTGGCCAGAACATGCCCCAGGTGGGTCCAAGGGCCTGAGGAGTTCTCTTGCATATTACCCCAGCAAGGACAGGAAAAGGGGCAGCTTCCCTTCCTGGTACAGAGTAGAGCTAAGTTTAGGGTGAGGCACCCTCCTCAGCCAAAAGTTTAAAGGGTCCAAAAAACTCAATAATCTAGAAAAATAATATTTTAATGCAATATTTTTAAAAATCCTAATGAATGCAAAAAGTCAATGGGATCAGTAACAAAGCAGAGCCAAGCCACCAAAGAGAGCCTGGGGCAAGAGGAAAATGTGTGGCCCTATATATATTTTTATGTTATTTTAATGGCTAATTTCTTTTCCAGAACATTAAAGTAGTTGAAAAAATATTGGAACATTTAAAAGTAGGTGTATTAAAACCCACAACATTATCTTAAACTTAAATGTTTTATTTACAGCAAAAGCAGAATGTATTTAATTTTACTTTGCTGCTTTAATGGAAGCTCACTCACCAATAATAGCAATTGTCTGCTTCTTAGCTGATGACATTTTCAAATGAGAAAATCGCCATGGGCAATCATTTCTTTTGATCAAGTGACCAACTTAAATAATTTTCAATTAACTGCAACTTCACCATTATCTTTATGTAAAATTATGATATTTTGTTCATCATGGACATTTTTGCATTAGTTTTTATTTTTTAAGATTTTTTTGCATTGAAGTATTATTTATCTCCATTACTGAGGTTTTTGGCATGCCCTTAAATTTTGTGCCCCAGACAAGTGCCTCACTCACCTCCTAATTTTGGCCTTGAGTCAAAGAGGAGGTGTTGGACCGCCTGCCCCGGCCTGAACCAGGAAAGGGCTCCAGGACCCGGACCCCTGGAGGGAAGGAGCGCTGGATGAGCCAGCTCTGGGCCAGCGACTGCCTGGCCACCATGTGTTTGTCCAGTGGGGCCAGCTGGGGACAGCAAGTGAAAGATGCAGGCTGCCGTGGGGTGAGGGGCTGGAGGGAAGCCGCTCTGGACCCGAAGTCCAGGTTGCAGCTCAGCGTCCCACTGTGCAATGTCTGCCGGGTGAGCCTTTCCTCCTGAGTCCAGGAGGGCGGAGACCTGCCCTGGGAGGCCATTATGTGCGGGTGGGCTGTCACCCGCCCACCTCACTGGACTGTAGATGAGCAACTGCCTGCGGGAAGTTCCCTGCAGCATACAGTGCAAATGCCCGCCCCAGCTCCCTGGCCACCACCCAAGGCCACTCCACAGTCTCTCTGGTCTCTCAGTCCAGTGTCAGGAAGTCCTACGCATGTCGCACTTAATTCCTCCACCCTCCTTCCCTAACCCGTCTTTTCTGGGAGGCCAGCCTGGCTGTCCTGGGAGGTCCCTGTCTAGTCGGCCCCTCATCACTTCCCGGAGCATCCAAGAGGGGCAAGAGCTGGGGCTCCCTGCACAGCCCAGCTCAGAGCCCCTCAGCGCCTTGATATTCCACCGCTAACAGCCACTGAGGCACGAACTGCACGGAAGGAAGGCCCTTTCAGAGCCGATCTATCCAAGTTTGCTAGGAAGCGACAACAACACCCAGGGCTGCTGCCTCCGCAGCTGAGCGGAGGCTTGCTGCCCCACGTGGGCAGCTCACAGCCTCGTCCTCCTGTCCTCCCTTCCCACGCCAGCGATGTCTTCCCGCCCCCCCTCGGCCTCTGCACGCTTCTCCCTTCCTCTTCTGCAAATGGAAGCCCTCGGAGAACTGGACAGACACGGCTGGCTGGGAGCGGGGAAGGGACTCTAGGAAAACTAACGAGCAAGGCTAAGTGGGCGTGAGCTGAGAGGGGCTTTGAGGAGCCCATCCCCCTGCCTTAGAGTCATGTCACCTTGTCACAACCAACTCATCCATGACAGGAAAAAATCAGGCTCTGACGAAAGAGAGGCCCAACCACTCTCCCCTGCTGTGTCCCCAACAACAGTTCTTCCGGATGTCTAACCTCACTCCCTCATGCTGCAGCTTGAGTCCATCTTCCCCGTTCAGTGAAGAGACTATATATAGACCATCCTCTCTGTTCCTGGATGTACCTCTGCGAGTTATCCCTTTGTCCATTTCATAAACCCTGAGGAAACTGAGGCAAGCAAGGTGGGGGCCATTTGGCTTATTGAAGGCAAGTAAGAAAATAAAAGTCTGGACTCTGAAATCACCCATCCAATACTCCAGATCTGTGCTGTGGGAAACCCAGACAGACGGTAACTTGCTGTGTTGCTGTGGACGCGTCCCTCAACTTCTCTGGGCCCAGGCTGGAACACCCGGACCCTCTCTCTGGGGACAGGCGTGGCAGGTGCTCCTGACACAGCCCCCTTGCTTGCTGCAGCCCTGGACGAGGGGCAGGCCGCACACGAGTCCAAGGACAGGGCCGGGGGAGCAGGGCCGCCCGGGCTCTCGCCAGGGCCCAGTGGCAGTGGCGGTTCTCAGCTGCCCCACAGGGAGACAGGGCTTGCTCAACCTCAGAGCACGGCCGGCTGAGAAGCGCCCCATCCGCACGCCGCACCAGCCACGGGAGCCACTGGCAGCCTCCGCCCCCATACGCCCGCACCTCGAGGGGCTCACCGCCGGCCCATCGCCACGCAGCGGCCACGGGTCCCGTCTCCGGGACTGCAGGTGCAGGGCAGCGGGAGCCCTCCCTCCTCTCCACCAGGACGACTTTGCACAGTGGGATGGACCCCAAATCCAGACAGAGCCCCACCCCAGTCTGCGGGGGACACCAGCCCACCCCCCCAGCAGTGGCTGCAAGCCTCCCAGCACGGAGCGCCCGCGCCCCGCCTGGCTCTGGGGAAAGCAGTGGTGTCTTCCTGTCCCACCCCTGCGACTGCTGGCTCGCTCGGCCTGAGGGAGCCCCAGCCCACCTGGCAGGACATGTGGGAGGCAGAACCATTCTCAGGAGATGAGGCAGGAGGAGAGAGAGGAAAGAGAACAAGCATTTACGACCGCCAACCCACGGAACACCCCACTGATGCCTCAAAGCTGGTCTCCCTGGGCTGCGGAGAAGACACAGGCTCCAAGGGCTGCTTAGCCTGTCCACGGCCCCACTGCCAGCAGCTGGGAAGGCCGGAACTCACTCCCAGGTCTGACTGCAAACAAAACCCTGCATCCCTGGCCCAATGGCATGTTCCCTGGGGCAGTGTCCTGGCCCCAGGGACTCAGAGCACCTGTGGAGTGCAGTCCATGGGTGGACGGTCCATGGGCAACAACCTACCTCATAGACAAGGCTGGCCTAGAGAATGCTTCGTGCAGAGAAATCTGCTCACCTCTCCCGGTGAGCGTCCAGTGAGTGCAAAGTAACACTGATGGGCATCTAAACATACTCGGAGATGACACCACCTGGCCTCCCCCCATGCACATGCAAGCACACGCACACACATACACACACACACACACACACACACAGAATGCATTCCAAAGTCAAATGCAAATAATATTTTCAATTATATACCAGGTATTGATTATCCATCCCCTGGCCACAAACAGTGATGCCCATCACGGGAGCTGGCTGTGGCGTTGAGACACATCCCACACTTGGCACCTCAAACCGACACTGCACGCCTCAGCCCATCGACTCCTTCAAGCAGCTCACGTGCTGTTCCCAAGAGACGCATTTCCATTTTGCCCAGTATATCTGGGTGTGCTCCCCGACTCCTGCGCAGAGATCTGGGCTGAGCCCGTGCGCTCTGCCTGGGACTGACCCCCACGCACCCAGCGCCTCCACGCCGTCCTGTCTCTTCTTGTAGAGCGTTGGCTGCGCACACAGCACTTTCCATGGCAGGTCAGTTGCTAGTCAAAGGGAAAGACAATCTTAGAGGGAGACGGCAAGAGAACAGCGGTGATTAAGGGTCCCACAGTCACTAGGCACAGCTGACAGCCCGCTGAGAAAGGGGTGGTGCAAGTTGACAGTGGGGAGTGCCGAGAGTAAGGGACTTGTCCAGGGTCTCAGAGAGCCAGAGGACACAGCCATGCTGGGTCCGAACTCACAATGTTGAAAACGCCTGCAGCTGTCTCGGAACCGGCAATGTTCTTGTGGACCACAAATCCCAGCATCTCCCAAAATTAGCCCGGGAACCCACATGGAGTGCCAGTGTGGCCCAAGGGGACCTTCTGGAGCATGGTAGGTGCTCAATACTTCTCACTGTGTTCTGGATCTGCCCTTCCATAGTACCCCTTCTGGAAGCTTTGATTTTCCACCTAACTCCCCCTCCACGCAGGCATCCTTCTTACCCTTCAATCGTTGGTCGTCCCTCATCTGGTGAGCGCCTGCTCTGTGCAGGCCGGGCCAGGACAGGCCAGGAGGAACATGACTGGGCGGCTCCCCTGGTGCAGAAGCTCACACCGAGCCAGGCTCGTGGCCAGCCAACAGCGGTTCCAAGGCAGCAGCTCTGCAGGCAAAGCGGGGGTTCCCACCCAGCCCCGCCCACGGCCGAGGCACCAGGCTGGACAGTGGGGCACACGCGTGGACCAGACGGGTCCCTGACCTCCAGTGCTTAATCACAGTCCAGCAGACGTGAGGGGCATTTGAGCAAAGCCTGAAGGTCACACGGGTGTCCACAAGTCAGAAAAGGGAAGGAAGGGCGTTCCAGGAAGCCAGAACCAGAGCGTGGGTGAGGAGCCCTGTGGCCAGGACAGTGGGGCGAGGCTGCGAGGTGGGCCGGGCCTGGGCCGCGGAGCCTTGGGCACCGTAAACAGAGGGCAACGTGATCTCACTGTCACTTCGGGGGCACTGCCTGTGGGGAGCAGGGTGAGCCAGAGGAGAAAGGGTGTCTGGCAAGCCCTTCCTGTGGGACGCAGCTCACAGAGCACACGCCACAGCCCTCCATGGCCGCAGGTGCCTGTGAGACGCCCTGGCTCCTCCCGTGCTGCTCCCTCCCACTGCACGTTTGTGTTTGACCTGGGCTTCCTCGCCCGCGGAACCGCCCAGCCTGAGGAGGTGGGTCTCCAACAGCTGCAGGCCCGGCGCCCGCTGGCTGCCTCCAGCACCTGCTGCATCCTGGCGCTGCCATGCCAGGAACGCACTAGCTCCACTTCACAGATGAGGGAACTGAGGCTCAGAAAGATTGAGAAACATGTTCAAGATCACCCCGAGAGCAGAGGCAGCACCCTTGCGCCACCCCGCCTGACACCACCCCCTGGGGCTGGAGATGCCAGGGCTGGCACAGCCCCGGCCCAGCCTGGCCACACCTTCACACACTAGCTGTAGGGGGCCAGAGTCAGATCGGAGTCCTTCCCGCCCCCGGGAATAGTGCTCAGAGGCACGTAGGAGGCCTGGGATCTGAGCTCTTCTCATAAGGGGCTCACTCTGATAACAGAGCATCCCGGTGCCAAAACCACCTCTCACCCCACTCAGTGCTGACGGAGAGAAAGGCAGCACCTGGGAGAAGGGGCCGCCCGCCTGCCTCCTGGAGCACCCTGCCGCTGAGCCGTGCAGCCAGGCCTCCCTCCGCCCCTCCCGGGGCAGGACAGAAGGACTTGCGTGGGGTGTGGCCAGTGGCCTGCTGAGTCCTGTGCTGGGGGAGCACACTCCAGTGACTGTCCCCACGTGGTATAAAGGCCAGGCCCTCCTGCCCCGCACAGGGCAAGGCTATGAGCCAGTGCAGCCTCGCAGCTGCCTGTGGGATCTGCTGAAGCCACGGGCGGTTCAGACGGCACCTCTGTCCAGGCTGCTGCCACTGCGCTCGGGGCCTTGGTCCCGAGAACCCTGGCCAGCCTTCTGCAGTGCTCTGCCTGGTGGGCGGTGTGCAGCCCCCCGGACACGCTGCAGGCCGCCCGACCTGGCATCTCCAGTGACACGCTGGAGTGGCAAAGCGGCAACGCCTTTTTGCGTCTGCCTGGGCGGCACCCGAGCAGGCAGGGAGGAGTGCCCGCCGTGTGGGGAGCCTCTCTGGGTGAGCGAGGCGCAGCGCCTGCCAGCGTCGGGGAGAAAGGCGTCTCTCCGTGCGACAAATGAGGAACTTGGGAAATTTCAAAAATATCCGCAAGTCCCAACTAGTAATAGATGAGAATTAAAGCACTTTCTTATAACAAACTTAAAATGTTGCCCTTTTTCATATTTAGAGGCTTGTACTTTTTCGAAGATAAACCAGGTCAGAAAAAGAATTTGACTTTTTTTCTCTTAGGATTTGGCAAACAGGAGATCTGGTAAATTTGCATAAAGTTGAAGGGTACGTTTGAGTGGTTTTCTGGGATTCCCTGAAATGAATTTTTGTGGTGAGAGGCCTAGAGAAAGCTGCTGCTGGCTCTCTCCCTGCGCTGCCGCCGGGTCTTAGGGCAGGTGTATTGCTCTGCTCACGCCTGTCTCCTCCCTGCGTCTTCTGCCCTTCTCTACTTGTGCCCTTCCCTCGAGTCACTTCTCCACCCCCTCCACCTGTCCTCACTGCTGTCCTGGAACCAACAATGACCTGGAACAAAAGCACGTTCCTATCATGCAAAAAGCAGAGTTCCGTATCTGTCATTTTAAAAGACAATTATTAGAATTCCTTATGCTTACTTTTTCAAGCCCTTCAGACAAGTGACTACCCTTTTCCCATGCCCCTCGGTTTCTGGGGCTCGAGGCTGTTGGTGGGGAAAATTCCCCCGGGCCTCCTTTTCCTCCTTACCGAAAGCCAGAGCTCCTTGAGGAGGTGGATTTGCCCAATGGGGAGCCCGTAGCAAAACCAACAGAATCAGTTCTGCTTTCTATTCATGGGACGGATGGGACACTCTGCGTCCCCACCCAGCCTTTTGCTGGGTCGGCGGCTGCCTGGAAGCTGCTAGAGCGAGCAGCGTGCACAGAGCAGCTCCTGCCCGCGTGCGCCCCAGCACCGCAGTCAGGACGGGGCCAGCTGTGTGGCTTGCCCCACGTGGATTGGCCAGGCCGTGCCTCAGTTTGCCCATCCGTAACGCGAGGACCTCACAGGGGCCCGCCGCAGGTGGTTGCTGTGAGGCTTAAGTACACGGCAGCTGCCCTACGGCTTCTCCCCAGACCCAGCCGTGTTAGGAGACGAACCCTGCCAGGCTGAGGCCGAAGCCGGCTGGAGAGGGCCAAGAGCTGCCGTGAGGGCTGTGGGCAGGTTACTCGCTGTGCCCTGCGCCGTCAGCGAAGGAGCTGGGCCGGACAAAGGGGCACGCCCCTTGCTCAGCGGGACTGGGGGACAGTGGGAAGCCACCTCCCAGATGGCCCTGGTGCCCACCAGTCACCCTGCAGCTCTTCCTTAATGCCCGTCCCAGCCCTACTTGCTGGTCCCACGCACTCCCCGCCCCATGCCTCCCCACGTCACCTGCTGGTGACCCCAAGCCCTCCCACGCTGGCATCCACGCGGGGCGGCCACAAACAGGCGGCTCTGTCTGCGTGTTGATGGCTTTGGCCCGCACCACCCGCCCCCTCCCTGCGCCCACACACCCTGCGATGCGTCTCCTCCCACGGCTCCTCCCCAGGAGACAGCTCAGCCCTCTTTCAGGGTTTAACTGAAAATCAGCAGAATGCTCGCCTTCCTAACTTGCTGTGTGACTCTGTCCCTGAGAGCATGTCCCCTCGCCGTCCCGCCGCCCCAGCCCGTCCTGCGGTCCTGCGCGCCATGCGCCTTTGGGTCTGAGGGGCTTTGTATGTGCCCGAGGCAAGGTACTGACCACGCCGTCCAGGGACCAAGGCCGGCGCGAGACAAGGAAGGCACAGAACAAGAGGCTGAGATGAGCCTACTTCACACCCAATGTGTGAATCTGTTTCCACGTGGAGTGACTTACTAGACGACCAGTGATCATACTGAGAGCTGAAATGTGCTGAGTTCTCTCTATGGTGCCACCTCTGGGACAAGGCACTTTTATAACTCTTGCATTAACTCATTTCATTAGCGCAACAGCCCTGTGGAATACACACTACGATGTCTCTGACATGGATATTATCCAGCACAGAGAATTCAATAATTCAATAATTCACCCATCGCCCCAGCCGGTGAGTGCTGGAGCCGGGAGTGCAGCAAGGTGCTCTGACCCAGGGCTTCCCTTCTTGCCCCTCAGCAATGTGCACTCCAGGTGAACAATGAGCCTCCCAGCGTCCTGAACCTTTGCAGGGACCCTCTGAGGTCAGCTGATCCAGGGTCCCCTCCCTCCCCACAGGTTAGCGGTGGAGCTGAAACTCCGCCTCCAGCCTGCCTTCCTGCAAGCATGTGCCATCATCCCAAACCTGTGCCTTGCCTCCACCCCAACCTCCCAGGAGACATGTCTGTGCGATTGTGCTGCAGAATATATGGGATACCACATCCTTAAAATATCCCATTTGCATCCTGCCCCAAATCTTCTTTATGTAGACCTCGATAGATGCGGGAGGGTCTGAAGAGGGGAAGGGATACCTATATTAATTCATATGTGCAATTAACACACCTACAGGATGGCCAGGTAAAATGCAGGATGTTCCCATTAGAAGTGAATTTTAGGTAAACATACACTGAAAAAGTGTTATTTATATGAAATTCACATTTATGGGGCATCTTATACTTTCATTTGCTAAATCTGGCAACCCTGTATGTACCCAACTCTGCTACTTACCAGCTATGTGATGTTGGGCAAGTAACCTAACTACTTTGTGCTCAGTTTCCTCACATCTAAAATATGCATCATAATTGTATCTCTCTTATACAGTGTTGTTTTGAGACTGGGTTGATACTTGCAGAGTAGCCATAGAGTTCTTGCTGTACTGTATGTAAGCCACATGTCACTGTTGGCTATTATTCATGTCATTATTGATGTTTGCATGTGACAGCATCCAAACTAATGGTGGTGGGAGGAACGGAGACAGACACAGAGACTCCTGCCCTGGCAGCAGGTGCACATGTCAATGTAATGTAGATGTGGCGAGGACCACCATAAGAGGGATAAGCAAGGGCAGGGTGGAGTAGGGCTTAGTTCTAATCCAGTGGGATCGGACAAGACACCAGCAACAAGTATTTACCAAGTGCTCACTATGAGCCAGGTACTGAGCCTGATAAGGACCAGCCCTCAGGAGCTCACAGCATGGGGCCAGCAGACGGTGACAGCACCACGCACATGTACCCAGGGAGGTGGGCAGTGCAGAGGCTGGAGCTGGGAGAGGCAGGGGCCCAGACAGAGAAAAGACCCTCTGGAGGAGGTGGCAGTAACCTGAGTCTTGAAGAATGACCAAGAGTTAACAAGGCTGAGTAGCCCTTGGGCTAACTGAAGAGAGGTGGGGATTCCAGGTAAGACAAGGAGGCTCCCAGCACAGTTGTCCAGTTGTATAGAAGTTTGACTGGACAAAAAGTAGGTATGACCTCATGGTAATAAACTAGGAGAACTTAGCAAGGCCTGTCTCATGAGATTCTTCTTGGAGTTCCTGTGTGGCATTTCTTCCCTGTGGGTGTCGAGCAGGACCCTCTGGAATGAGGGTTTTGTGACCTACTTTCAGTGGAGATAGATCAGAGAATTCCTTTATGGCCAGCTCTCTCCCAGCAAGGTCAGAGGGTGACCTTTTTGTTTCTGCTGTTTTAATTTCCAAGGTGCCATATTTTGGCATGCTGTGTTCTATCGTGCCGCGTTCAGAGCCCGACACCGGATGATAAGCTTCCCTAAAGCTGTGTGTCAGCGAGCTGCGCTGAGCTCAGCTAAGACGGCCCGCCCGTGCCTGTGCCACGTGGGGCCTACACGTGCCTGCAGCCCTGAGCTCAGCTAAGACGGCCCGCCCGTGCCTGTGCCACGCGGGGCCTACACGTGCCTGCAGCCCTGAGCTCAGCTAAGACGGCCCGCCGTGCCTGTGCACGCGGGGGGCTAGTCTTGCAGCCCTGGAGCAGCTAAGACGGCCCGCCCGTGCCTGTGCCACGCGGGGCCTACACGTGCCTGCAGCCCTGAGCTCAGCTAAGACGGCCCGCCCGTACCTGTGCCACGCGGGGCC